TGTAGGTAACTTAGAAATTAAGAGAGTTGAAACGACAAAGTCATTGGGCCTAATGATAGACGAGTCTGGACCGCGCAGGTCGAACACATCTCAAAAAAGGTCACCTCGGGCCTTGCTATTCTCAGACGACTCCGGGATACAGACGAATTCAATACCTTAATAACAATATACCAATCCATAATTCAACCTTATTTCGATTATTGTGCTCAAGTGTGGAGTTGCTTAGGGAAAACATTAGCAGCTAAAGTTCAAAAATTACAAAACAGAGCGTTTCGAATAATCACTCGTGAGAATTATACGACACGATCGGCTGATATATTAAACAAGCTAGGAGTTCCGAACCTCGAAAAAAGAAGAATGCAACAACTTTCAATTCTCATGTACAAGGTAAAAAACAAATTGGTCCCCGATTACTTGTATGATATGTTCACAAATGTGGGTGATGTACACGACCATAACACAAGACAGTCGGGAGCCGATTTGACATTGCCTAAACCAAAAACAAATAGTATGAAAAATGCATTCTCCTACAGAGGTGCGGAAGTCTGGAACTGCCTTTCTGCATCGGTAAAAGCATCAACAACTATTGCTAATTTTAAGTCTAACTTGAAGCATGCAAATTAACATCAAGTGATCCTGCCATTGTTTCCATCTATCTAAAATAATTTTCTTGTAACTTTTTTTTTTTATTTCTGCTTGTGTGAGCACGGCCGGTTGGAAGATCACCTTTTTCTCTTTTTATATTTTGTACATAATTAATTTTAGTATAGGTGAAATTGTACCGTGTTGAAATATAGTTAATAATAATAATAATAATAATAATAATAATAATAATAATAATAATAATAATAATAATAATAATAATAATAATAATAATAATAATAAATTTTTTTATTTTTTTTTAATAATAATAATAATAATAATAGTAATAATAATAATAATAAATCCGAACGAATCCGATCGGATCGGATTCGGATCGGATTTGCGCACCTCTATTAACTATCCATCTCTCTGGAACTTCTGCGGTATAGAAAGCCCACTCATACTGGTCAAATTGTCAATACTCCCACATATCAAGCTTCACACTCTAGTCAAGAAAATTGCTTGGATCCGAGCTCTCGTAAATCGTGCCTACAAAATCTGCAGTAATTCTACTCTTCTAAACAATGAGTTAAAACAAATCGAAAATTTCATGCCTTGGTATGATTAATTCCCTCGCAAATTAACCTCAAATCTTATTAACCAATTTAAACCATCATCACCGGTGTCTAATGACAACGACAGCGAAGCCACAATTACTGAAATAAACAACGCTCCTAAAATTTGGTTACAGCTACCATATCTTGGGAAATTTGGTGAAAAACTAACTGGTTCGTTGATACACAAATAACCCCCTCTCCCAGTGGCGGAAATTCACAGTTTCGGGGGGGGGGCAAAGCCTCCTAAATTTCCCACAGAAATCTCAAATTTCCGACATACCCCCCCCCCCC